CTTAAAGCCGACATAGTAAGAGAATATAAATGGTGACGGCATTGCAAACACGGTTCCATTTTTATATTCTTGTCATGGTTAGAGAATGCATAAAGTAACACCATTGCAAACACAATCCCAATTTAAAATTCTTGTACGTGATTATAAATGAAACAAATCTATTTTATTTTTAGAAATTTGCCTGTGATTATATAAACATCACATAAAATACGTCACTTTTTTGACGCTGATCCATTCATGTGACGCGCAGTTTATATTTCGTTTGTGGTGTCCTGGTGTGCTGTCGTAAATTCATAGGAGGTGTTCGTTATTATTCTGCGGTTTAAATGTTGTTGTAATGTACTATTATATTATTTATTTATGCATTTCTCTGTGCTGAGTGTTCTTGCGTTTGTTTGTACTGTATTCCGGTCACGTAGTGTTGTCATTTTAGCGTTATTTTTAGCATTGCCATATTAGCGGGAGGTTTGGCTAGCCATAAAACCAGATTCAACCCACCACTTTGTTCTTAAAATGTCCTGTACCAAGTCAGGAATATGGCAGTTGTTATCAGACAGTCTGTTTCTATGTATGTTGGCGTTTGCTTTTGTTGTAGTTCAGTGTTTCTGCTGTTCCGTTGTTTTCCTCTTAAAAGTGATGTGTTTCCCTCGGTTTTAGTTTGTTACCCGGATTTATTTTTGCTTAATCGAATTATGACTATGGAACAGTGTATACTACTGTTGCCTTTATTTATGCATTTTCGCTTTCAACTTTTGATCACTAGAGACGCTGATTAGACTTTTCAATAACACATGTATCTATCTCACCGAAATAAGTATTGTTAGTTTGTCCTTTTAAATAAAAACACATTTTGTATCTTACTCCTTCTCATGGTTGTAAATAGCAGTTGTAACTAAGTGAACATGTTATAGATATGATCATTGCAGGAAAATAAAGATGCAATTCATCCTTTGTAGGCTTTAAAATTTTTACTTACAGTTGGTATTTTGCATCTTGATTGACTATAATGGAATATATGTGTTAGAGATGACCACACAATCCGATCGCTTTTGAAGCTGGCTTTAGTTGTCAATTTATTTCCAGGTAAATAACATTACATGGATATCCAAAGGACACTTGAAAATATCTAGTTATGGGCGACGGAAATATTTACGCGTAAAGTCGTCTGCTTCCCCTACTTAATTGGGTGAATTTTCGCAATGAAAAAACCGCAGATGGGACAGCTTTTTATAGTACGCTCGTTTACATTCCTTTGCATGTTATCAACGCGTTTTCTCAACATGATAGTCAAGGATTATATATATGTTTTACACTTTGAAAGTGCTACATACATAAAATTATTATTTTTGACAGGACAATATACGAGATGAGCTTGCTTCTTCACTAAATTCCAGTTGTTTTGGCTATTTGGATTAACTTTGACAAATATTTATAAAATAATACATGCTTAAATTGAGTAAAATGAATTTAAAAAAGGAAGAAATCAAATAGCACGTTTTTTGCATCTTCACTGTACATTAGTAGTATTGGTTGAAATTGTTCGAAATATTAACATGCTTTATCTTTTTTTTTTTTTACATAAAAACAATATTAAAATAAATACAGTTCCTGATTAGTTTGTGACAACAAAAATCATATCTTGGCCTACAAAGTGCGTCAGATGATCATTTTTCCGGGTGACCAATTTTGGTTTGCATGTATCTGGCTGCGCCATTGACACACTCAAAATGAATGAAGATGGACACCCTGCTAAAATTTCGTTGGAAAATAATTTTGTTATTGTACTTTATTCGTCTTTGGTGTCTGCAAAACTATCTGCTAATGGCGTGATGAATGTGCTCTTTATACACTATAAATTGAAAATGGCTTACTCAACTTATGTAACACGTGGATAGATATAAGGGTGTGCTCCTACCACAAAAAACTGCTTTATAGTTACGATACTGTTGTCAGGTCATTGAAGATGGCTTATTTTGGATTTAATATTAATTCATTCATAGGGTCTTTGCATCGGAAATAAACACATTTATTCTAAAACCAGTTGTTGGCATGATACGGGTTATGTTCTTCTCATATAATTTATGATGGTATGATGCTAAACCCCTAACGGGAGGGATTGTGCTTGATTTTTATATGATGAAGACATAATCTTTCAATCAGTTTAATTGAGGTCTCGAGCTTGCATGTCAGTTACTGCTAGTAGTCCTTTGTTAATTTATGCATCATTGTCATTTTGCTTAGTTTTTTTCTGTTACCTATTCTGACATCGGACTCGGACTTCTTTTAAACTGAGTTTTACTGTGCGTATTGCTGTGTGTTTGTTTATTCTACATTGGCTAGAGGTATAGGCGGAGGGTTGAGATCTCACAAAACATGTTAATCCCCGCCGCATTTTTGCGCCTGTCCCTAGTCAAGAGCCTCTGGCCTTTATTAGTCTTGTATGTTTTTTAATTTTATTTCATTTATATGTTTCGGAGTTTAGTATGACGTCCATTTTCACTGAACGAGTTCACATTTTTGTTTACGGGCCAGCTAAAGCCCGCCTCCTGGTGCGGGATTTTCTTGCTGTGTTGAAGACCCATTGGTGGCCTTGTGCTATTTTATGCTCTTTGGTCGGGTTGTTGTCTCTTTGACGCATTCCACATTTCCATTGTCAATTTTATTTTATTTAACAGCGTTATGAGGAAGAACGATTAAAATCGACAATACACAAGTTTTAAGGTCACCATCACCAAATGTGTTGACGGATACGATATATCTGTATTTCAACTCACTAGCGAAATGTTTCCGCATTCTTAGATATTCAGATTGCGGAATACTCATATACCCGGTAATCTATAATTTTACCGATTGTGTCCTATTCTCAATGGTGACATTTTGAATGAGTGTGGGTTCGCACGGCGGGTGATGCATGCATAACAGGAGACACTACCCTGTCGACGCACCCGGTCTCGCTTTTTGGCGTTCTAGCGATTCCCTTAGTTTTGTGTGACCCTTGATTTATCATCCTCTTGATCTTACATGTTTTGATATTTCATTTCAACAGAATTATTAAGTAAAAACTTATTATATTACGAGCTGGTACAATAAAAATAAAAATTTCAAATTCATTTACATGAGAAATATACCAATAAACTATTTCGTTTTATTGAGAAAATTTAACATTTTTGCTATCTGTTCCCCTGAGTATTTTCTATTTTCTTAATAAAACAATGGAAATCCGATTTTCCTCACTATATAAAGTATGAAAAAAGCATAGATTGGCAAACCTAATTGAATACTGCTAATTTAGCTAATCTAAACCTTATGAGTTTAATATTTCATTTCAGAGGAGTGCACGTATATTATAGTATAAGTATATTATGAAGCTGTTCAAAATGAAAGATTCAAATTGATGAAATTTTTAACCAAATAGAGATCTTTTGCATAAAAAATTAAATATTTCTGAGTGAAACGGACAATAAAAATGTATATCTATATTATTATTAGTTACATAGTGTGTTTGTGACCTAATATGATATATATGAGGTCTGTTAATTCCATATGGTTGAGAGCGAAACTCGAATCCCCATGTGGAATTTACGGACCCCATATACATCGTATTAGGTCACTAGCACACTGTGTAAAGAATTTATCTTACCGACTATCTTAACATGTGGTATTTAGACTAGTGGCCTATCAAAGTGATCAAGTTTTCAATACCGTTAGTATTAAGAACCTACTTTCATTGGTCTATGCAAAAAGAAATGCCACCAATAACAACTTGTTAGCTTTAAATGTGTTTTATGAATTTATTTCAATAGTTCATCATCAATTTCTTCGTCTCCTGAAACTTTTCAGATTTTTCCTCAACACTGTGTTGTTTATATAACGGGACGTAACAGCACTACTAACCGTGAATTGAAATAAGCCCCGCCTACTAACCCAATATGAAATATACACGGTCTCTACGCGGTTGCTTTTAACCAATCATATTCGTAGAAATGTATAGGAGGTAAGATAAATATTGTTATTCTACTGATGGAATAAAAGAGGCAGCTTTTGAGTACGTACAACATCAGTTAAATATCGCAGCATATAAAAATGTGCCTTTATCTGATAACTGATGGTCATTGTATATTCTTAATGTTTTATATCTGTTAGGAATTCGTTGTTTAAGGCAGATCTTTAGTTATCTATGTAGAATTAAGCAAAAACGTTTTTTTAGACTTTTCTACTGGCGATTTATAAACAAAACTAAGGAGTAGTGGTAGAATTGTCAATGAGCCAACTATTCAGCATACACAAAGATGATTATGTGGATGATGTGGAGGTAAAAAGCTATACAGGTCACCGTGCGGACTTTTAACAATGAGCAAAACCGATCTGTATAATATGCTTTAAAAGGATCCGACTATCAAATGTAAAACAATTCAAATGAGAAAACCAAATGCCTGATTTATGATAAAAGCAATACGAGAAAAACAAAGATTACAAACAACAACCAAATACTACAGGCACAAATAGAATTTGCAGAGTAAGCTGGGTCAGTAGTGTAACAACACAAGAACAAACTCAAAACAATTCAGCCGGAAAGGTCCGACAGAATAGATCGGCACAAAACAAAAACAAAAATCAAAAAAAAATTATACAATAAAATTCAAACGGCAACTACACAAGGTACCGATCTAAGAGAACCCACAACCAACGAAAGTCAGCCCGAATCCAATAACAATAGCATTACCCTACCAATGTTTCTGCACCAGATGCGCATTTTGACAATAAATGTCTCTTCAATGATATCCGATGCCATAATATTTGAGAATCAAACACTTATTAAAAAATGCACAACTAATAAAAAAATCATGTCGTTCAAGACTAAAACACCAATCAGCTTGTTATATGGCATGGATAATTATCTATAATAAATAAAAGCCGTATGCTGACCTTGAAATGTCTTTTTGAAAGGCTAAAAACTGCAGTCTATAGCAATTTGTTTATGGAAGAAACAGAAGAAAACCTCGTCTTCAAACCTTTATTACAGTCTGATACATGCTTGTATTTTATAAATAAAATGTGAGTTCATGTTCATGTCGCACGAATCATCATCGCTGTAGCTTGAAGCGAATAATGGTAACCCCAGGATCCCCAATTGATACCAGATGCATATTCTGTGTGAGGTCCTCCCCAGTATAATCCATTTAAGTTAGAAGAATGACATTTACTGTACCACCAAGCACCTTTAAATTTCTCAGCACAATTGCTGGGCCAAACATCATTGTCCTGGTCATAAGTTGAGAAACTATGTCCATTCAGTCCTGTTAAGGCATCACCTGAAATTATAGTATGGCCTTTTCAGATTTGAGTCGGCGTATTGGAAAGTATGCAAAGAAATTAAAATAGCTTAAAACAATTTTCAAAATTCAAATCTTATTTCTGCATTACAATGGGTAGGAAACATTTAAAAATTTTATAGCTAATTCAGTCAAATGTATTTCTCGAACGAAACTGCATAGTTAATAGGATTTGAAATTTCCAATAGTAATAATAACAGGTCAGCTGGGCAGCCCGCCAACCACGATGATAAAGTACTGGTCGATGAGTCTAATACGAAGTAATGATGATTATAGCAAGCGTTATCATGACCACTGTTGTTATACAGTGAAATGGCGGTCCATTATCCAACACCACGGATACAGGCCCTCGGACGTCAGACGGCATAACACTCCCCCATCCATAATGGGTTTTGGAGTGTATGCTGGCGCGGACATTTACATCTAGACATTATGCAGACTGTACAGCGTTGAATTAGTTTCTGTCATCAAAAGTAGTATGTCGTTGAACCATCTATCAGAAGTCCAACATCGTAGATTGCGGGTAAAGTGGAGCTGACCAAGCACGTCCGTTCAGCTGTGATGACTAAGACGTGATCTGATGAATGAATATAGATTGTATCACCAGTACATGTACTTATAGGGACTGCTTATTTATAGGATATATGGCCGATCCATTCTCATATTTACTGAATGTTTTTTATTTGTGTACCTGTAATTCAACATCATTTTTTTCAAGTAACCATATCTATTCTTTTAATTTGTCCCCGTTCACACTAAAAGATGAAATTGCAATAACAAATTGTAAAAAGATAAAAACTAGGTGAAAAAAACCTTATTGCATACATTTATTATATCAATTTGAAGTGAATATAGATACATCCTAATTAAATAATCTTAATGTTAGAATTTAAATCAGACAGTCATCTTTTGAAAATGACCATGTTTTTCAAATCAAATGGGATATTCATAACACTTGAAAGCTATTTGCAATATGTGCTGTTCTTACAAGTAGCAAATTTTATTTTCATTAGGATGTTTTGTTCTTAAATGTTATAAACTTAATCAATATGTGAAAATATTATACTTTTCAGTTGGAATGAAATTCATATATTTGACTTTAAAAATTTCTTGAACTGTTTCAAATCATCTGGGATTTTCATAAAACTTGACAGCTATCTCCTTTTTATATTTTACTTAGAAATGGCAAAATCGGGTTTTCATGTAGATTTATTACTGTTAAATTTGTGCTTTAAAAGACGAAAATTTCAGTTTGGAATAAATAGACCTTTACATGTATACTCAATACAAACTATTCCTAAATACTACATCTTTTGCTTTATACTTTACATCAGATTTGATAATTTGAATTAAATACACATGGAATTTAAACTTTACTTGATAGGAAATAAATATTGTCACAAAAAATAGCTGAAATAGTTATTGTCCCAGTCGCATATGGACATGATGAATAAAATTGAGGTTGAGTCAATAGATCCTCCTCCCCAAAATAGTTTCTGCCCCGCCACTATTCTTAGAAAAAACAATTTCCCCCTCCCAAATATATACTGCAAAAAAAGTATTCGCCTGTCCCTTCCCTCAGATAAATATTGAACGGTCCCTAATAAAAAAAAGTCAATGTCACATGCACATCTAAGGTATCATAGAAATTTGCACCGGTCCCATGCTTTAATAAATTTTGACTGGTCCCTAATTGTACACTTCTAGTTTATTATATTTTGACAGTTGTTTTTGATCACGATACTGGTTGGACATGTTAGAGTTGTGATTAGATATTGCCTCGCCTCTGACGTACTAGTTGATGCGAGACTAAGGCAAGGCGCGTGCTGCTCTGTAATTTGGTTAACCAGGTGAAATGAGATTCAGAGGTTACCAATAGTACATACGTATGTGGAATATGAGAGGACAATTCAGCTGTACATGTACAGGTGTTCAGTATGACCCCGTTCACATTAGGACATTTAGATCGATTTAAACTAGATCGGTTCACTTTATATCGAGTTAAGGGCCAATGTGAACTCTTTGAATTGATCTTTAATCGGTCTAAACTAAAACACCAAAAGAGGTAGTTTAGTTTGAATCGATCTAAAGTGAACCGATCTGACTTTAAATGTGCAAAGATCGATTTAAACTAGTACAACAAATGGAAGTTTTTAACGACCTTGACTGGATATACATCCCTCGCACGGTCGGCTCGGTGCCCGAAGGCGTTTGGTGAGCGTTTAAATAATTTTGTGCCATCGGTCAGGAACAGGTGGAGGACGCCATTTTGGTAGGCCGCCATCTTGGTTTTGTGAGTTGTTTTGGTTTTTCTTTTGTTGACTATTTTGATGTTATGTCTTCACAACGGCTGCTTTCAGGGCCAGATTGGTCAGCTTGGCAGCCCGCTAACCTCGATGATGGAGTACTGGTAGATGAGTCTCGGACGTAGTATTAACGATGACAGGAAGCATTATCAGGACCAAAGTCGTGAGACAGTGAAATGGTGGTCCATCATCTAACATCTAGGATACAGCCCTCGGACGTCACTCGGCATACCACTCCCCCATCCATAATGGGTTTTGGAGTGTATGTTGACGCGGGAATTAGCCCTACGCGGATTATAGCCTAACGTAGTCTGTACAGCGTTGGATTGGTTTCTGTCATCGAAAGTAGTAAGTCGTTGTTCCATCTAACAGTAAACCCTCATCGAAGATAGCGGGTAAAGGAGAGCTGACCCAGCACGTCCGTTCAGTTGTAATGACTGAGACGTGACTGGATTGTAATGGATTTAAACTAGTACGATTGAATCGAAGCATGTATAGCCGCAAAACTACACGAGTAATAACATCCCTGTATATATCGGTGGTTCGTTGTTTAACCCATATTTCTCTGTTAACAGACTCTTGTGTACATGCAAGTATACACAAACGGAAAAAAGTTGTCTTCGTCGTAGCATAAACTTGCGAAATCTGTGTCGTCTTTTCTTCTGTTGATTTTTTTTTTAGGAACCGCAGCATTTCTCCATGTTGTAACTTCCTTGCTACAGTTTTTTATTTCAAAATTAATGAAACTGCAAGAACACCAGTATGAAAATTTGAACTTATTATTCAAGAAAAAAAATAACTTAATTCATTTTTTTTCAAGTGTGTGTTTTCAGTGTATCAACACATAAATTTGATTAATTATTTCTGTTTATACACAATGTTTACAGTTTTACGGGTAATTAGGTCAGATCGATCGATTGTATTTTTACTTGTGGTGTGAACGCAGTAGTTTAGATTAGACCGATAGAGATCATTATGATTAAAGATAATGTGATCGCTAACTGGTTTTATTTAGATCGATTCAAATTTAGATCGATTTAAAAAATGCTAGTGTGAACGAGATCTTAAAAGATATCTAATCGTGATTTCAATTCTAAGTATCAATTTTAACATATCGCTTCGCAGCGCAAGATTTATTTATATATTTAGTGAACTCTTCTTACCAGGGCCAATATACCAAACTTGTATTACTTGGGTTCAGTCATATTATTAGTGGTTGGTTTGCTATTATTCGCGATAGCTACATTATAATTTTCTTATGTAGTTAAGTACAGAAATAAAAAAAACATGCTCATGTAAAATATGAATTGAAAAAAAAATCTGTGGCTAAATACTGCTGAATATTAGTTATTATTATATTTTATCGGTGCCTCATGGATAAAATAATTTATTTCAAAATACCTGCATTTCCGGAAAATCCTTTGAGAAGCAGACGATACTTGTTTGGTTCACTGGACACACTGAAGTTCTTATACTCAGCATATTTTGACGTACCATTAAAATCAGCCAATTCTATTCTTAGGGCATGATTGGCTCCAGTTGTTAATTCGTGTATTACGTCATTACCTAGTACATAAAAGAGGAGTATCATACAATCAAATTCAGTTTATTTCTTTGCCGTTTAATATACACCACACTTGCATAAGCTGGGTTAAAAAGGGGCCCTCGTATCTGATAGTACTAATTTTAGAGAAAATATTATTCCTAAAGGACCAAACTTTAAATAAATTAAATGGCCTGGATAATAAAAAATAATACAATATCGATGGGCTATCCAAACAACAAGTCAAAGAAAGGCCTACAACCATAGCAAGTGGTTAAAGTTAAGCTTCAGCGTCGCAAAATAAAAAAAAATAATACAAACTAGGTAAGAAAACACTACATAGAAAACTAAAGATATAGTTATACAAATTGTATTAAAAACTCCCCCATGTTTCTCCTTATAAGTTAATATCCAGTGAAAAGTTTCATTCAGTGATGTCACGCAAACCATACTACAAACGGTTCATATTAGTGGTCATCGATGACACGGATATTCCCTACGTACCGATCAAATCATGCTGGCATTAGTACAGTTTACAAAGAAATGACTCCACCTGTACGTTGGAGACTACATTTTGACCTCTAGATATGTTTTTATTCTTTTTGTTGTAAGGCTGCTGTTTCGTCGACGTATACCCTGCATCTCGTTCTATTCATATCTTACATAGCTTGCGAAGACGAATGACAAGAAGCTAGCAGTATTCTTTTACTTATCATTCCACGATAAAGATGATGTCTACTCTTTGCGTATTGCAAAGTTTGGTGACATAATCACAAAAGCTGTTTTAAAAAGTTGTTGTATATATTGAATTACATCTAGAAATTGACAGTTTTATCGTTTAGAAAAAACAACTATATGACGAAAGATAAATTTAACTCCCCCATTAATGAGACTTTCAAGTTTTGTGTAGAAATATTCCAGCAGCATCTACCATTGAATTTATCGTTTGATACAATTTCCCAGGGCTTGCTTTTACTATCACGGCCTGCTAATCCAAAAGGTTCTTAATTGTAAATTTAACGGACTCAATTTCATGGATGTGTAAAGACCACTGTTGATTTCCACGTCACCGTGTCTAAGGCTAATATCATAGTAGTATTTAATAAACTGAAACTTATATTTTTGTTTCCTGGTTATAAATTTTTTATTTGTGTGTCTAAAATAGAGGCAAAAGATACCAAAGGGACATTCAAACTCATAAGTCCAAAATAAACTGACAACGTCATGGCTAAAAAAGAAAAAGACCATCAGGCAAACAACAGTTCACAAAACACAACATAGAAAACTGAAGACTGAGCAACACGAACCCCATCAAAAACTGGGGTGATTTCAGGTGCTCCGGAAGGGTAAGCAGATACTGCTCCACATGTGGCACCCGTCGATCATGTTAGTACAAACCCGGTAATTAGTCAAATTTGGTTGGTAACATTCGGGGAAAGAGGGACGGGATTGTAGTTACGACATATAACGAACATATCCGCTATCATACCATAACGGTCAACCAACTCGTGATGGCGTCCGTAAAATTTACGAAGGGATGACTTCAACTTGACCACTTGGAACTCTTGGTTTAACCCTCTATCAAGGAAATCATTATAGGAAACACAAGCCCTGGAATATTGTATCCACTGGTAGAGACAAATACTTCGTATGCAGGCGCTGCTGGAATGTTGCTACACAGAAATGGAAAGTTCACAATTTGGAAGCCGAAATCATCCCTTTTGTTGTAAAGTTTTGCTTTCAACCGGCCCTCATAGTCAATTTCTAGATGTAAGTCAAGATATGAGGCAGATTTAACTGTATCTGTTGTATCCTTTATCTCAAGTTCGATGGGTAGATGTGTTCAAAGTAGTCACCAAGTTTTGAGTTATCTAGTTAAAGAACATCATCTATATAGCGGAAAGTAAAGTTAAAGGATACTGCTAACTTCTTTCCTTTCTTCATAAGAAGCTCCTGTATGAAGTCAGCTTCCAATGAATAAAGGAACAAGTCGACAAGAAGAGGAGCACAGTTGGTTCCCATGGGAATGCCGATTGTTTGTTGAAAAACACGTCCTCCAAACGTAACACATGTGTGGTCAATGAAGAAATCAACCATCTTGATAATGTCAGTTTCAGAGTATTTTTTGTTTGAATCAGAGTGATTTTTTTACAAAGTACGATTTATCCCTCCTTAAGAAAAGAAACTTGTATCTACGTAAGCCATTCTTTTTAATGAAACAATGCAGGACCTCCTGTTACAATTTGTCTTTAAGTTTGGAAAAAAGTAAAATAACAAAAATACCGAACTCCAAGGAAAATTCAAATCGAAAAGTCCCTTATCAAATGGCAAAATCAAAAGCTCAAACACATCAAAAGAATGGAAAACAACAGTGATATTCCTGGCTTAGCACAGGCATTTCATTATTTCCTTATGTAGACAATGGTGGATTATACCTGGTTTTATAGCTAGCTAAATCTCTCACTTGAATGGGGAATAATTTTATAAAGTGAAGAAAAGTCAAATGTTTTAATTCTTTTGCAAGATGAAAGAGACTTAGATGTATGTACTCTAAAAGATCTTTGGAATGTTTGAATATATCCACACCTGATTCACGCCACCTCTAGCCTTTTAACTTTCACCTTGAAACAAAAAGGAGCCTTATTGTTTTTTGGGGTTGTTGGGTTTATGTCAAAATGAATATAAATAGTAATACTTTGGGAATAACTTCGTTCCGGGACATAACTTTGAGAATTAAATCAGACCATGTTTACATAACTTTTTTCGACAATGCGCCTTTGTGTAAACAATACCCCCTCCGACGACTTGGTCACACGAGCAATTGATAGTTGAAAAATTGACAAATTTATGGTTTTTCTACTTCCATCAATTGACATAAATTATCATCACACTTTACAGTTATCATAAAATCAAGATATCTCTGCAGTATTTTTGTAATTGACACAGCTTTTAAATAATGACGGAAATAATATAAATTGTTTCAATCTGCTAAATAATGCACCTTTTAAAAAACTTAATTATTTTCTTATTTGTTAGTTACACTATCATGCATTTACCTAACCAGTATTCTCCGAATGGTTGTCCAAATCCAGTTTTGTAATTCTGCCATTTTCTGAAGAAATTCACAGAACCATCAAATCTCTGCTGTATCACCTTAATTATATAAATGTATACAAGAAGTATAAGAGAATGTAATGCTGATCCATTTGTTATAATAAAACAATTTTGCATCCGATTTCTTAGTTTTGCAGAAGAATTGTCCTTCGAAATTTCTGAAATTCATTATGTTTTTTTATTACCAGTTGGCGCTTAAGGAAAAATATCATCACATAAAACGAATAACAGACACAGTTAAATCTTCAATAGAAACTAAAAAGTTTGACAAAAAACCAAATCAACTGTTTTTGATATGGAGGAACATTTCACTTACTTATTCAAGAGAATAACTAGTGCATATGGACAGTTTTCAAACGTGTATTCTATAACATGTATAAGCAGTGTGAACTATCATATATACATATAAATGTGTTAACATGATGTTTTCCTCTTTCAGTAATTTTTTGGACTTTAGTAAAAGCTGTACAGAAATACTGTTTAGTCAAGTTTTGATGCATATTTGTAAATAATTAGTGACAGCTATGTTTAGTACATAAACGTTCGTTAAAGTATATATCACTAATCATACGTAGTTTCCTGTCAAGTTTTCTAACATAGTTTTATATCTTGATGTGCTGCGTGGTTGTTAAATTTCGTATTGCTTTTGGTATTATACGGTGCGATTGCCTGTCAATATATGTCAGTTTTGGTTAGATGTCTTTGCCAGATATAGCCTAAAACTTGTTGATTTTACACCGAAGCTGTATCCTTAAATGCCAAAATATTGGCGATCTACGTCTAGCAAGCAATTCAAATCTAACCGGTGTTATGGAATGTCTCGAACTTGAACAGAAGAGCCGTTTCTTTGCTTTTAGTTTTATCCGTGTGTAGTTATTTCTATGTCATGAATTGATACACCATATTTTTAACTTTCTATTATGATCTAAAGACAAACTAACCGTCCAAATATGACCACTGGTATCTATTTTACAGTAGACTGAAACACCAGGTTGTAAGTTTGCAAATGGATAGATTTTATAAACCCCACAGCTTGTTATTGCTAGCTCTGCACATTCTCTTGGAAGCTCTAGTATAGCGTTAAATAGATAAATTAATTGGTTAAAGAATTCCGCTCAAACCGGTGCTAGGGTCCGTCTAAAACTTACCGTGAGGTGATAAAGATTTTTTTGCTTTGTGTTAAAGGCCTCATTGTGACTTTTAGATGAAGAACAGCAATAAAAGCGCTATTCCTTTGCTTTTTTGTGTGTGGTTTTGTTGTTCATGTACTGATTTTGTGTCGTGGACGGATACTCTATATCCTTTGTTTTTCTATTAAAAAAAAGAAAGTGTATGTTTAAATACAATTTAGTCCAGAAGGGTGAATTATGACATTCGCACATCCTACAGTAAGTATATTCATTTGTTATAAATGCATTTGATCGTTCCTGATGATGGTCAATCCAGGAAAGCGCTTCGGACGCACCAAATATAAACTCTTATTTTCATTTTGTAGCCCAAACACTTATTATAACTGTAAATGTAAAATATGCATTCAATATTGTTTAAAAGAGTCTTTACAGAAACATTAATTTTCATCATCAGATCATATTGATCAGGTAGGTATTTGTTTGAACAAATTATAGGATTTTGTACGTCATTGGTAAATCATTATTGTGTTCCTCGATCACTGTATATTACAACACAATATTTCAAAAGCGGGCAGTTATACATATTTGTATGGTCATCTACAGACACTTGTGATTTGCTAGAAATTGCATGTTATACTCTTTGCTCATTTAAACATTGTTTATGCATTATATTTTTCAATATCTTTATTTCAAGCGTTAGTGAGAACTTGTATTACCCATGAACTTCAAAAGTAGAACTCTATTTATAAAATGATAAACAATTTATAAAAAATGTGGGCATTATATATACACCTGGGAAGTCCTAGAAATTGTTGATATAGTGGAAATGCGTTGTTTTTTTTCTTCTTTTTAAGCTGACCAAATGAAAAAAAAACAATGGTTTCAAATATACACCTAAATGTATTAGGCTTTGGATCTTCAAATATTTCACTTTCGGGCATCACTGAAGACTCATGAATTGTCAAAATGAGGTAAAATTGATACAATTAATGTTATTAATGAAAAAAAAATCATTTAAAAATATGATACAAAAAAGTAAGTATTTTCATATTATAAGATGAATAATCAAATGATTAACATAATGTCGAATTTTTATCATTAACAAACCAAAATTAAAATAATTACGCTTACCTGCATTAGCAAAAATGCCATAAATAATGACAAAAACAGTCAACCTTAAAAAGAACATCATGTCACTAAAACAAAAGAGACCTTCTGTGTATGTACGTCGCAAATGTATCGTTTTAACAGCTTCCTCATATTTCCTTTGTGGGGAAATGTTTTTTATTGCACAATACATAATGCGTAATAAGTAATGTATCTGTCGCTAAGTACATAATTTTATTTCAAATACAAATTGCAAGGCTTTGCAATGGTTAGTCTCTATTGTTTTATGACAAGATAACAATATGATTATTTGTCGCCCATTATAACAGTTTATCATATACTTAGCATTAATATGATAGCTTTTGCATATGTGTAATGAACGGAAGTACACAAGCCATAATTTCCCACCCGGGCTGATAACCCATATCAGGGGCGTCTCGTGCAAAATACCCATAACAGTGACTCTCGTGCAAGTTACTTCCGGTATTTCCAGTATCGCATGTTTACTTTTCCATTGTGGCGTCAGATATTTTTTATTATGACGTCAACATTTTTCGGAAACTTTTGGGATGTCCAGTAACGGCGGACAAATAGCGATAAGGTTTATTGGATCCAGTGGTAAATCTGTTTGTACAGAACCAGCTGAAAAAAAGATGTTAACATGGCTAAATCCGATGATATAAATTTTCAAAATGATGCTAGTTTACAATTAGTACTTGCTAATAAATGCCATTGACAATTATGAATCATCTCATATAGTACAACATGTAGTAATAATGATCATAAAACTGTATATACTCTCTCCATTCTTCCAGCTTCCAAATTTTTAATGTTTCAAAATGCATCTATAGGAAATGGTACCATAATATATATGGAGGTAGTGATGCTATTGTTGGACAATTATAGTGTATTTGTTGGATTCATGATTTAACTTCTTTAAAAAATTTTGACTGTTTTAGTTATTTCAATTTTTTATTTGCCTTACATAAAACAATTGTCGGAAGTATATGATAAAGAGATTAATACATGGCCTTTTCCATATCGTCCCGGGTATCATCCCTCGACCAATATCAGCACCTCGACTACGTCTCGGGCTGATATGGGGGTCTCGGGATGATACCCGGGCCGATATGGAAAAGGCCATGTATTAATCTCTATATAACACTTATGCAATTATTACAAAAATCGAGTTGATTTTTAATCCAAAGGGGAAAATGTTTTATGCAAACGCAAAATGTATAAAAATGATAGCAAAACGAGTGTCTCACCGGATCCCTTCATTAATGTATCAACTACACAACAAAGGTATATTTTTCTATTCGAGATGTCATTGTGCTGCATAACTGATTATAACTTTTTAAGTTATTGACTGTCTCACCAGTATGTCTTCACTACATAGCACAGTAAAATTTTGTTATAAATAAAATCCTTTCTGTACCTGAAATAAAAGTTCCTTCATAAAATAAGTTCCAAACGGATGAAATATTCTGTGATATTATTTCCTTGGGAACAAATATTACAGACTTTGTTCCTAATAGAATAAAGGGTATAGAATATTCGTTGAAACAGGAACAGATATTATGGCATTGTTTATAAAAAAAAGTTACAAGGGGAATCTCTGTTAGGCGAAACAAATATACGTTGACAGAACTGTGTTGTAACTAAACATTACCACTTCAACCTGTTGAAATTGGCACTGAGACAATTAAATGTAGGACTATGAGAAAACAATATGATACTGAAGTGTATAAGCCTTGGTTACATTGTATTCATGCAAGTCGTTCACTTTGTAACGTGTCAAAAACATATTTGTAAAGCAAAATAAGCATACATTTTTCATTTAATAGATAAAAATTATAACATGTATGTCCTCTAGTTAACAATGACTTCCATTACATAATGTCAAATCTGCCACGTATGTAACATTGATTTTACAGTGGTATATTGATTTCCATGTCGACAGTATTTTGCACAAGTCTAATTAAGAAGTAGTTGAAGTACAAGTAAAAGTTTAAAACAAAGTACTATATTTTAGCATTCAATTCTAAATGTTAGAAATACATTTCAACAATTACTTCCAATTATTTAGAATGGATATAATTTTTTCAAAACATTTTGAAAGGACTAGGTGAATCAGCCATGTTAAGTAGTTAAATCTGTGGACTAAATGTCAAGTAATATTTTTTTCTCTTTAGTGTGTCATAAACTATTAGTTTTAGAACTGTAACGTATTCGGTCATAATAATGCAATGCGTTGTCATATTTGTTTTCAAAAGGTCCTTTCTGTTTGAGATTACGGTGACATTGTTATTTCAGACTGTAGTTATGACTATAAAAGATGCCAAATTAAAATAAAAGTCAAGTCGTAGATATAATGTTTTTTTCTGAATTGCTAGGTTCAAATATGCGGTATTTATTTTCGAAAATTATATCAGTTACATTTTTTCTATCATTATTCCGTACTCCATTATAACGAGGTAATAGGACATGCTGTTGCAATCTTTAATCTTTAAACATGAAACACATTAAAAATTTGTATGCGTTCAACCAAAGCGCTTTTCCGGATTAAAAGGTATCTAAAAACAATAATCAATTATATCTCAAGTTATGTTTGCCTGGGGGAGTTTGAATCTAAGTTTCTAAATAATTTAACAATTTATAAACGTAAATTTCAAGAAAGGTACATTATAAATGTCAGTACCGAAACACGAACTACTGAGCTTATGATACCCTCGGGAACTAATAGATTAACAGCAGTGGTAATGACTTAGTGCTATAAAAAAGAAAATGACACTATTATAATACTAAAGGGTCCGAAGCGCTTTGCTGGATTTATCTTAGGATATTCAAGAACGATGAAAGCCAAATATTTGAAAGCCAAGAATGTATTAATACCGAAACACGTGCAGTGCTATATGGGTCAAAGGGACATATAAATAATGACCAAACCTTTGCAATAGGACATGCTATTGTAATCTTTAATCTTTGAATATGGAACACATTATCCTCTTAACACATGATTTAAACAACATATAAAAGGCAACAATAGTTTAGCGATATACGAATCTCTTTAATCTATTTTGAATTTACTCACCACGATAAAGAAAACCCTTATGGAAACGCTTAAACTGGAATCGACACGAGGGGAAAACAAATGCTATGCATGCATCAATCCCCTTGCGAATATAGACTCAGTTAAAATGTAGCAATATTGAATAGGCCACAATCGCAAAAATAACAGATCGGACAGATATTCAAGTATCTAAAGCTATAAAACCGCAAAAACATGTCTTTTGTTAATTGAAACACATCATATCGGTCAACCAATTCGTGATTGTAACTCATGTAGTTTCGATTTCGGTCATTTATTATTCTAAACCTGCTTGAAAAGCTTTTGCGTTAGAACCACATTCTTTGATGAATTTCGTATAATGTGAACATGACAGCGTAACGTATCAATTGAAATGTAAGAACGCCAAACGCTAAGGCAGAGGTATGTTTCTAAACTAGGAAAGGGAAAGTTGACAATATGAAAACGGAATGATTCGAAATCGTTCACCTGCATGTGTCAATTTCAAGAAAAAGATGCAAATATGAAACAAAACTCCAGAGGCGAAATGTACAAAACCTTCAAGCAAGCCTTCTATTTCCGTTAGTAATCTTAATGTCAAGATAGCTAATACATATATATAAGATATATATAAGCTGGGAGTACTTGTTGAAAAGTGGATTACTGAGTGACAGGGCATAATTATATCTGAAGGTGAAATAACAGAAATTGGCATATGCTTTTATATCAACCAGGCACTGATTATATATCTTGATATTTTCCTCGATATTGACACATATGGACGACTTCAAACTAGAATATATAAAAAAAACTTAATAATTTCAACGTTCAATTGTCAACTTTACATTTCGCAACATTAACATACCCTTTGCTTCATAGGATGACATTTACATACCTAAATTGATACGCCACATTCTTCCATGTTATGCTATACAGACTTCATCGGCCGGCCTAGGGGTATACTCCCTACACCAAAATAGCTCCGACATAGTTATGAGGAAGATTGATTAGTTCGACACTACATTTATGTACGGTCCTCATCATGAACTGGTTGACCGATACGGTATATCTGTATTAACTCACTAGTTAAATCTTTTCGCAGTATAAGATCTTCCGATACAAGAATAGTCGACTTATATGTAATTTTACGGATATTGTCTTTTTCCCGATTGTGACATTTGGACTGAGTTTGGATTCGCATGTGTGGTATAGCATGCATAACAGGAGACACTTACCCTGTTGACGCACCTGGAATCGCTCCGTTTGGAGTTCCCTGGGTTTTGCATAACCTCTATTTGTCTTCTCTATTGATTTATGAGATTTGAACATCGATAATTATAATGTTCTGTTGCCATAATGTACAGACAAATTAACAAGAAAAATATGCAGCAAAGTAACCCGTTAAAATCAAAATACGGATTTATCAATGAACTTTGGTATAAAGATGAACAAAAATTATTGGGAGACCGTAACTCAGCCTATCGAAAAATTTAATCTGGCACTGCGTGGATTAATGTGATTTTGTGCTGGTGTCGAAGATTGTGCCAGCTTGTGCAACAACGTCCCCTCAATGAAGTCATAACGCACAATAACATCCATTTTACTGAAACTACAGGAAAGGGAATCATTTATAAATAAACTCATCATAGCTTAAAAGAGAGGGACGAAAGATACCAGAGGGACAGTCAAACTCATAGACCGAAAACAAACTGACAACGCCATGGCCAAAAATTAAAAGACAAACAAACAAATAATAGTACAAATGACACAACATAACATTAAAATGTTGTACGACAGACGCGCGTTTCGTTTACAAAAGATTCACCAGTGACGCTCAAAGAGCATTGAGTACCAACAATTCAGAAAGGTTTTGCCAAATACAGCTTTACTATTCCTGGGGTAAAAATCCTTAGTATTTTGAAAAATTCAAAGTTTACAATTATGACCATAGGAATGATAATTCATGTCAACAGATATTTTGTCACTACAATAATCTTAATATTTCGGAAAGTAGTACAAGTATGTTTAATTGTAAACAACATACATAGAATATTACCAGAACGTGTGTACATGAAGACAAATTGAGACAATTGTATTTTACATTTTCATTTATTTTCTTACTAACAATCTAAACACAATCATCTAATTTTTCATCTAGCTTTGACTATGTTTTGTGATTTTAGAAAACACAAAATGCATCACATCAAACTTTAATTTAGGACTTTGGTGAACCTCTTACATATTAACATTGGTATTACAATAAGAAGATAGGTAAAACATACCAATAATTGTATTCACAAAATTATGATCAGTTAGAATGTATTAAGTCTTGAAGTCTTGTAACAAATTGTAATATTAACAAGTAAGCACTAAATTATGGCATTCAAAATAACATGATACGTACATGAGTGAGAATAACAAATAATACCCGTTTGATTAGAGAGTAATTGCCATTTACAAACAAAAAGACATGTTTTTAAACATTTTGGAAAAAATTAAAGAAGAAAAACAGTTGGAAATACTTTAAGTTCATGAAAGCAAATTGATTTTAAAAAGTATGGTATTTTTTTTTATATCAAAACATGTATTCATTTTCGATTATTCCAAACCTTCCTGTAGTATATAAAAAAGACTATGTTCTCTGCAAAATTATACGTTTATAGTAATACAGCAACATTGTAGTTGTCTAAATTTTCATTTTTGACTTCTAAGTCCCCGCACTATCAACATATCATATATTCTATCATGTCGCCAGTCTCTGGGTAAGCACCTGAGTCAAAAGAAATATTAAATACTATAGATGTTTAAGTTGTACTCTGGTACTTGTATTCCCAACATGGCAAGATGACAAAACTTGTATTGGAAGACGAAAAAAAATAAAATGTTTTTAATGATATGCTTAGTTTATAGTTAAATACCCTGCCTGATGATTCATACACCCATTACACTACTTAGCTCTTGTTTTGGTGGTTTTGAAGGGACAAGAGCTGCCAAATGTTTTCTCATTGACTTTATTGAAACTCTCAAATAAATATAACTGTATATACTTAAATATCATTTAACGTACTTCAGAACGACAAAAGTAATAGAAAACAATACGAAAATGCTAGAATCGTTATAAAGTATCAAATTTCGTATGTTTTTCAAACTGGACGCCATTTTACTAACCATCGACATGTCTCACGAAAACTTGAGGGGCTTTTAAGACCCTGTTATCAATATAAAAATAAACATGTATGGGTTTTGCTTATAGTTAAAGGCCGTACGGTGACCTATAGTTGTTAATTTCTTTGTCATTTGGTCTACTGTGGAGAGTTGTCTCATTGGCAATCATACCACATCTTTTTATATAGACTTGTAAATATGTCCAGTTTGACTTGATTTAATTTCATTGATAAAAATATTAAAATTATAAATGTACTCATAATCTATATGACATTCTTCATTCTTTTTAATAAGTTCGATTTTTAAATATTTTGACCTCGAGCATCACTAAAGAGACATTTTTTGTCAAAATGCCGATCTGGGGCAGTAAAATTGGTTAATGTCGTTACTATAATAGAATGATTTTTTGCGGGTTGAATCAATCAATCAAATCGGTCTTCCTGTTTTAATATTCCATAGTTTCATTTTTCAAAGAGAGGTGAAAGATACCAAAGGAATATTCAAACTCATAAGTTGAAAGTAAACTGACAACGCCATGGCAAAAACGAAAAAGACAAAAAAGACAAAAAATAAAGTATAAAAATGACAACACAGAAATCTACAGACTGAGGAACACGATCCCCACGAAAAACCGGGGTTTGATCGCAGGTGTTACGGAAGGGTAACTGACATTCGTTTCAACAACTAGACATACACATTTTGGGACCCTTTATAGCTTGCTGTTCGATGTGAGCCAAGGCTCCGTGTTGAAGGCCGTACTTTGACCAATAATTGTTTACTTTTTACACATTGCGACTTGGATGGAGAGATGTCTCATTGGCACTCATACCACATCTTCTTATTTCTATATACACAACCAATTTCCATCAAAGGTAAAATCAATGGTTGCATAAATACGGATTCAAATATGAACGGGAGGTTTGGCTAGCCATAATACCAGGTTCAACCCACCATTTTTTCTTAAATTGTCCTGTACCAAGTCAGGAATATGGCAGTTGTTATCAAATAGTTCGTTTCTATGTATGTTGGCGGTTTTTTTTGTTGCACTTCAGTGCTTCTGCTGTTCCTTTGTTTTCCTCTTATAGTTGATGTGTATCCCTCGGTTTTAGTTTGTAACCCGGATTTGTTTTCTCTCAATCGATTTATGACTTTTGAACAGTATAGTACTGTTGCCATTATTGACCCTTATGCACATAATACATCAGCAATGCTTTGAGCTTATTTTGACATAATTAAACGAAACAAACTGACAATCGCGAAATATTATTTCAACATTCCGCTTTAATAAAATTAATGTTTGAAACAAACAGAAACATGATTCATTTTTTTTGTTTTGATCTCAGCTAATACCTCTTTACGAATATTAATTATAAAATTTATCAAATTAGGTCTATTTATTTCTCAACAGCTTTAATTAAACAATGCAAAGTCAAAATTTAAAAAAAATGCGTTATTTTGACAGGTTATAATTAACCCACTAATCTAATTTAGTATTAATCATTTTTTATGTCTGTTTGAAACCTATGATTGGAAGGAATTGGTAATACTGAAAACAATTGTATGTCAGCATAATTACAAAAACGGAAATTGATTGGTTTCAAACTTTGAGTCAGACATCGAAAAATATAAATAAGTAAAAATTGTGTGATTGAGCTAAGAAAATAATGTTTAAGTGTACTAGGTGAATGGATGACCAAATTACTGGATTTCCCGCCTTTCTTTTATGAAAGTTTTCCCTGACACCTTTTTGATACGTGTTCGGGTGATGAAAACTTTTAAATAACAATTAGCTAAAAGGATGATAGAGCAGATTGTTACCCAGAGAAAACGTTGTCAACCGAGGCGAATGGAAAAAAGTCAAGTTACTTTTTGTCACAGGATGAATTTTACTAGAAAAGGTTGTGGACAAACCAGCCAAAAATTACACGAATAAGACTTGGTGTGTGAATGTGTCCTTTAATTACAGAAATGTTCGATGCGGTATGCAATGATTTTGTCATATTATAAGGATATATATATATTGTCAAGTAAAAAAAACCAACTGCCATATTCCTAACTTGGTACAGGACATTTTAAGAAAAAATGGTGGGTTGGACCTGGTTTTATGGCTAGCCAAACCTCCCACTTATATGTCAATGTTAAAAATACCGCTAAAATGGCAACATTACATGACAGGAATGCAGTGCAAATAAACGCAAGAACACTCAGGACAAAGAAACACATACATAAATAATATAATAGTACATTACAACATGTAAACCACAAAATAATAACGGACACCTCCAATGAATCCACGACAACACACCAGGACACCACAAACGAATTATAATCTGTGCGTCACACGCATGTATCAACGCTACAAATAGTGACGTATTTTTTGTGACGTTTATATTATCACAGGTAAATTTCTAAAAATAGAATAGATTTGTTTTATTGTAGACATGTATAAGAATATAAGATTGAGTTTGTAATGGTGTTATTTTATGTATTTTCTTACCATGACAAGAATATTAAAACGGAGTTGTGTTTTTAATGGTGTTATTATTGGTATTTTCTAACGGTTTTATTCGAAATCAAAACTGTGTATAAACATAAAAATCCTGTGCATTTAGTTGCTTTAAACTAAAAATTATATAAATGAAATAGTTGATTAATTGTTTTAACTTTTACATACATATAGAAAATAAAAATAAAATAACTGTAATATAAGGCAAGTTCATGTAAGACCAAACAGTAAAGACACGTGAAAACAAACAACACAAAACACAAACACTGTAGACGAACTACGAGTAACTCGACTATACTGACAAATAGACATATGTGAAATGTACCGAAAATACAGAATTCAAACCACAAACGATAAGACATAACACAATATCTAACCAGACTTACGAAAGAAACATCATAACTAAATACATGAATGTTGGATGTATAAATACCGAGACACGTCGTATCGCAATGCGAATTCACATTCGGCAAAACAGTCATATTCGGGAATAGACGACATAGATTGGTAAACCACAATCTAAGACGTGGTAAAAATGTCGTTAGTTAGTTTAGACACAGACACATCGTATAAATCAACCAATTCGTGACGGTGTCCATAAAATTTACGGAGTGTCATTTTTAATCTTTCATCCTTATATCTCTGTTGGAACAGTTTCTGTGTAAGGAGCACACTCCTGTATATGATTTGATTTGATTTTTTGGTGTTTTAACGCCACTTTTAAGCACCGCTTTTGGGCTATTTCGTGGCGGCCAGTTTTTATTGGTGGAGGAAGCCGGAGTGCCCGGAGAAAACCACCGACCTTCGATAGGAAAACTGACAATCCTAGTCAATTAAGATTGGAGTCGAGTGCACCCGCACGAGCGGGGTTCGAACTCACAACCTGACTGGCTAGTGATTACAGTAGTAACTACTTAGACCACTCGGCCACCGAGGCCCCCTCCTGTATATGAAGTCCGTATAGTGTGAACATGCACGAGCATAACGTATCAACTGAGATATGTAAATACCATATGAGGGGGCATAGGGTATGTTACTGCTGAGAAACGGGAAATTGATAATTGAGAAGTTGAATTATCCCGTTTGTCATAGATTTTAGTGTGAAGTCGTCCATCTGTGTCAATATTGAGGAAAAGATCAAGGTATGAAGCAGTTAGTATCACTAGTATCCTTAATTTCAAGTTCACAGGGATATATCAGATGTAAAGTACTGACTAAAATATGGGTTATTCAGTGATAGGACATCATCAATATATCTGAAAGTAAAATTAAAGAATTTTTGCAAGGTGCTTTTTATTTTTGTCTTTTAGAAGATTCTGAATGAATTCTGCTTGATACGAATACAAAAAAAATCGGCCAGTAGGGATGCACAATAAGTACCCATTGGAATACCGACTGTCTGTTGAAATATCAATCCTCCAAACTCATCAAATATATTGTCGATCAAAAAGTCTAGCATTTTGATAATACCATCTCAGTGTATTTTCTGAAACATCTTTTTTTTTATTCTTAAACCGCCAATCCTTGTACGAAGTTAGGAATATGACAATTGTTTTCCTTTCTTTCCGTTGGTTGATACAGTCGAGCATATGATTTTTTTCAGGTTTTACGGACTTCCCCCGTTTTGAATTTACGTTAGAGTTCAGTATAATGTTAATACGTTTTTACATAGGTACTGAAGTTATGATACAACACGTACTTGATCTAAGCAAAATAATTACTAGCAGTGATCTCAAAATGGTTCATGACAACTTCGTCAACGTTGGGGTAAGACAAATACTAGCATCTGATTCAAATCATTTACTTACAACTATATAAAATATTATGAGGATGACGAAACAGTGAAATATGTAATAGTTTTCAGGTTTAATAAATTTGCCAACTGATTTTTGTTTATAAATATAATAAACAATTTTCAAGATTGCATTTTAAATATATTTTTTTCAGTGTCAGAAAGAACCTGAAGACGTTTATAGGTCCCTAATGGTGCATTTTCCGGAATGGTTTTTCGTTAGTACATTTGAGAAAAACTGTCATCTTGTTGAAAAGACTCCGATTCATCATTTTTCCTTTCAATTTTTACTGAAATTAATTGAGTTGTGTCATTGAGGATAAAAACCTAGCAGTATTCTCTTTAACACACCTCCGAGTGTCAACAAGATTGATGCTGTTTTTCCGGGACGAACCGGGTCAAGTGCTAATGACGAAATTGAACTCTAAATAAATGTAGCTCGTTCCAAAATCAGCACCTTTAAGATCATCAGCGAAAACAATAAATGGTCCTAGAATGATAAAATAAACCAGAGTTTATCCATCGCGACCCAATGGAATGTGTAATATTTAATTGACTCTTGAACCATTGCTTTTGTCAATAATATAATTGATGATTTTTACAGGAAAAACTTTATTATTGATTGGACAGGGTCCATCTGACCTCCCATTTAGATAGTATTGTAGCCAAAGCTACCAAACCTTATCAAGACTATAGGTTCGTCCGTCCGGAAATCTATAATACTAAAATAACGAAGTCCAATTTGTTAGCCGTCATGACGTAAAAACGACGAATCATAGAATTCAACTTTATATATACTGTAACTAATATAGAACAATAATGTAGATTGAAAATTACAACATTCCAGGCCCTTTTGTTTTCCACACAATTAATAATACCATTAATTTACAAGTTCCGGGTCGAATCCGATACCGATATCAATAGTATATGTCATATGTAGTTTCCCGTTGTAGTATGTGTGTATGTTGTGTATTTTCCTCCTTTAATAGGAACACCACCATGGGTTATTGTGTTAAGGGGACATAAAACGCGCTGTATTGGTACAGATTTAATGTCGGCATTTGTCTACCCAATTTGCCAGCCTGGACGTGGCGGGTCTTACTATCAGAAAGTTAACCTCCCCGAACAATAAGTGCAATGCAATAAAACATATGAACACACACTCACCTGATTCACTCATCCTCGGCAAGATATAAAAAATGCAAAATATAAAAATTAGTAAGAAAACCAGGACGGGTTCAAACTAAAAGATTTTGAAGGTGCAGAGAAAACTGTGCACCTTATAATCAGCATGCCTTTATCAGATGACAATACGAATACTTAAAATCCGTGCTTAAAATAAGCGTAGGTACTTTAATTCTGTCACGGACCCGCGATGTCGCGGGTGTGTTCTAGTATATATGTATGACAAAAAAACTGTTGTTTATCTTTTTAAATCTGATGATTTGATCTCCAATTTGTTTTAGAGATACTTATTTGCATGCTACATGAACAAATAAAAATCAATACTTACCAAAATCTACGAAGAACCTTATTGCTGCCTTCATTATGCTGTCGCCAGTAAATCCCTTCGACAATGATTCCTTAATTACTTCATTAGAAAATGTATATGTCCCTAAAATGAAGTATCACATTGTCTCAATTTTGTCTACTCAAAGAAAACATAGTGTCTAAAAAAGAAAATTTAATTCTGTTTCTTAATTCACGTTCAAAATCATCGTCATTTGTTCAAAAGATTAAATAATATGCTATCTTGCCAAAATAAGCGAATAAAGACGTCCTCAAAAAGGAGATAACGTATACTTAACTTGTGAGATATCTGTTCTATCTCACATATATTCAATGCTGTTGTACTGTTGATATATGTTACAGTAAATTTGTATAATAAGGGATTATGTAGAATAAATCACTGGTAACTTTAGTGATTATAAATAATTACTAAAATTTTCAGGAATTATGCAGAATCACTAGATAAAATGTCAGGAATCATACATAATAACTGGAACGAAGAGACAGTGAGTAAAAGTGAAATAATATATCTTAAACATCTTAAGAAACATAAATATTAAAATCTTAAAGCACAATATTCTGATGCAAATCATTTATTTTACAAACTGTATTGAAAACTTGGATGACACCTGATGACGAACATTTGCTCTGCTTTTTGTGGGTTTTATTTTGCAATGAGAAACACTTTTTAAAAAACTGGTCCTTCGTATATTGAATCTGATTTTATAGTGCAAGTTGAAGAGAAATAAAGTGTTCATTAGAAACATCTGAAGGTGCTAAAAAAAGTGAATCAGACACCTCAAATTGATTCCTTGTATCATATGTATAGGATTTGAGCAAACTTTCATGTTTCGTAGTTAGGCATTATCTTTTCAACCCACCTTTCACAAACGACCGCCTTTATATTTTCCCCCGATCTACATGCGGAATCGGTATAAAAACATTACAGCCAATGTTGGCCTACCCAAAAATTGTGTTCAATTTGTCAAACATGCATTCTGTTTGTTTTTCTGTACGTAGTTTGAATTTTTAATTCCTTGTTCGTCTGAACATTCATGAAAACAAAAACTAGATCTTCAATAACTTTCATCGTCTTTATTTTCCAGAAAATCACATGACCTGTTCATTTATATTCAGAACATGGACATACATTTGACTCTGTTTTTGGCAAAAAATACTAGTCGACATGGCATACATGTACAATTATCGGTCATTTAAAAAGTTGGTATTATCAATTTCAATTTCAAATGCTTTTCAGTTTATGAGTTAATGTGGTTCAATACAATTAAATAGAATATCAATGCAAAAACTGTTCACTTTATATTCGAAAAATGGACAAAGAATGAAGACTGATCACTTAAACCATAAATGGGTAGGAAATACAGATGATTTATTTGTCTATATTTAATTGATTTTTTATCAAACTAAGGATCTTTCATTTTTATTATTGATAATCACTGAAATTATTTCAGGGAATTTGTAGAATAATTTTTTAAATTTTCAGTGATTATGTAAAATCAGTGGTCATTTTCAGGGATTATTTATGATCACTAATGATTTTAGTGATTATGCAAAATCCATGAAAAATCAGGAATTCTACATAATCCCCGATTATACAAATTCACTGTGACATATATACGTCCAATACTTACATTTAATACAATTTATTTATAACTAATGTGGCTTATCTCTGCGTCTCTTATTGATTTATTGATTGGTGTTTACCTCACGCTGCTGCAACACGAAAAGGCTATATCGCGGCGAGAGCTAATTCAAATATTTTTACAAGGTACTTTTTAAAATCAGACAAAAGGTCCTTTAGTATACTGAAAATCAAGTTTAAATCAAGAATACTTATTTACAAATAAAATTCAACACTAAGACAAATAAAACAAATAATTTTATACTGAAACAGCAAACTAATTTATATTTTATAATGTATTCTAATTTCATTTAAAATTGAAAAAAAAACAAATTATGTACTAATGGAATACTATCAAATAAATCATACATATTATTGACATCAAAATGCTTCATACAAATATTACCAAAGTCAATACATTCAACTAAAACATGTGTAATAGTATACTTGCAATCGCAAGGTATACATTGTGGTAGAATTTCATCTTTTAGAAGATACTCGTGTGTTATTCTAGTACGATCGATACGGCATCTAGAAATAATACGCTGATCTTTCCTACATATAAAATTTTCAATAAGTTATAGTTGTGCCCCTCTTCTTGCCGACTTGTTTCTTTATTATTATGAGGCTGACTTCATACAGGAACTTCTTAGGAAGAAAGATAAGAAGTTAGCAATATCCTTTAACTTTACGTTCCGCTATATAGATGATGTTCTCTCACTAAATAATACAAAATTTGGTGACTATGTTGAACGAATCTATCCCATCGAACTAGAGATAACGGATACTACAGATACTACAGTTAAGTCTGCCTCATATCTTGAATTACATCTAGAAATTGACAATGAGGGTCGGTTGAAAACAAAACTTTACGACAAAAGAGATGATTTCAGCTTCCCAATTGTGGACTTTCCATTTCTATGTAGCAACATTCCAGCAGCGCCTGCATACGGAGTATGAATCTCCCAATTGATACGATATTCCCGGGCTTGTATTTCCTATCATGATTTCCTTGATAGAGGATTGCTGCTCACAAGGAAGCTATTAAACCAAGAGTTCCAAATGGTAGAGTTGAAATCATCCCTTCGTAAATTTTACGGACGCCATCACGAGTTGGTTGACCGTTATGGAATAACCGTTTCACAGATGATATCGGATATGTTCCTTATGTCGTAACTACAATACCCTACCCTTTTCACGAATGTGACCTACCGAATAAGACTATTTACCGGATTTGTAATAACATAAGCAACACGACGGGTGCCTCATGTGTAGCAGGATCTGCTTACCCTTCTGGAGCACCTGAGATCACCCCCAGTTTTTGGTGGGGTTCGTGTTGCTTAGTCTTTAGTTTTCTATGTTGTGTCATCTGTACTATTATTTGTCTGTTTGTCTTTTTATTTTTGGCCATGGCGTTGTCAGTTTGTTTTCGATCTATGAGTTTGACTGTCCCTCTGGTATCTTTCGTCCTTCTTTTATAGCATAATATGAAGGGGTCTTTGTATTTGAATTTGATTGCAAACTAGAGGTTAAATATATCTGGATTCCTAGTTTACGAAGCTTGGGTGTTTTTCAAGAAACTCTCATACATCTGACTAAAACAAGGAAAATTAAATATGTACACCCTTAATTGCAAATTCTTGTATACAGTGAAGCAATAATTCATGTCGCAATTTAATTACTCAAAAAGGAACCTTTTTTATACAGCTTCATAATTCAAAAGTATTAAACAATAGTTGTTTTATTAAGTCGTCTATTTTAGTACTATAAAGAATGTTAAGTGTATGGAACTTGCCTTTCATGGATGACAGCTCTGCAGTTCTCTATACGTGCAAAGAGCATATTTTGTATTTGACATATGCACATATTTCGAAAACATTTCCTTTTGACTATATATGCTAGGTATGTACTATCATTAGATAAATAAGTCAGGTGAAACATTTAATAACGGACAAAAAAATAATTGTTCAAGGATCCGAAAGTTTAGGTTAAAATTGAAAACGGATATGACGTATTGATTCATGACGCAAAATCCAAACCCGCCATTGACGAAACTAAAAGTAAAGGAACAGCAATACCTTGAACACGGGACATACTTCACTTTAAATTCAAAATGGTTCTTTACATCGTTTTTAAAGAAATTCGTTTGTTGGATATCGATCATACTACATCTATCCATTAAAGAACACAGATGCAGGGTTTAAAAACAAATTACAGAACACGAAATGTAATTAATATTTTGCCTGACAATCTCCTTGTAAAACTGTAGACATTATAACAACCACGAAACATAACACGATATTTGTAAGAAAACTTCAAAAGAAAAATGTATGAATAAATAAAATATATTGATTCAATAATTCAATTTTAATCATGTAAAGTTTTAAAATCTACCTCTTGGTCTCCGCGCATTTATTAAAATGCTTCGTCGACAAATGTAATCTAACTTCTCTTGTTGCACTCCACAACTTGGCTTGTGAAGTCTTGCAACTTCATATATTGTCCATTTGATTTCTAGAAAAGAAAACTAATAGTTTCATTTCGTTGAACATAATTTTAAAATAGTCTTTGGTGGTGGATATATCTGGAAAAGTACACAAATATAAACTATATATAAACAAAGAATAAAACCGATGTGAATGACATAAAAAGGCCAAGAATGTTTTATGAGATGATTCACAAGAAAAAGGATCTTGGGTTTAAATTATTCGTGCCAAAAGAAAATTTGCCATGATGAGATAGGACTACCTTGTTTAGTTCAGTAGTCACTGATATAATTTAAAACATACCTTTCTGAAGTTATCTGCCTACATATTTATCAATTAAGATGGGTACAAAAAAGCGCTTCGAATGTATCAAAATTTATAGCAGGTTATTTCTACTTTCTAGCACTGAGTCGATAATCAACTCCGAGGTAAACTTTTTGAGTTTGTAAGTTCCTGATGAAGGTATATTCAGAAAAGCCTTCTTGATAGAGGTATATTCAGAAAAGCGTTTCTTATGACGGTATATTCAGAGAAACTTTTCTAATGCCGGTATATTCAGAAGAGCGTTTCTAGTGGGTATATTCAGAAATTAAAGCATTTCTAATGACGGTATATTTTCAGAAAAGCGTTTCTAATGACGGTATATTCAGAAAAGCGATTCTAATGACGGTATGCTCAGACAAGCGCTATGCACTATTTATAACGTGTAATTTTAAACTTTAGGTGATATATTTAACCATTTGTAAGCAGCAATCCTTCTGATAATTTTGATCTTGCAACAATAAAAACAATATAAGATAATTGAAAAAAAAAACAATTGCGTAAAGAACAATTGAAGGTCTTACAATCCTTGAATTTACATTTGTTGATAGAAAATATAGTTGAAAAAATTTTCTCCAGCTATAGGGTTTATGACTATGGACTATAGGCGTTCCTGGTGCATGTGGGTATAGATGTGCGATACGGACGCAAGAGGTGTTTACAGTGTTATTTTCATGTTGTTTACCCTTGTATTTATTGCTTACTTAATTTGTACTTTATCAAGAAAGAGTATACTATATACTGTATGTACTATCAACTACGAAAATATTCTGTTGACGTCTTTGTCATATTTACCATCAACTACAATAACCTTTTTAATGTCGTCTTTGTTAGATTTATTTGTATATTGTTTTGAATTTTTTAGTCAGTTGTGTTCTATGACTGTGATGTATGTTTACACAGTTCTGGCTGTCGGTTCCTAATCTGATGTACGCTTAAACAATACACAGGAGTCAACGTAGTCTCACAGGACACATGTATGTTTTGTTCCATTAAAAATTCATTTACACGTTTGATCGCAATAAGTGTAATAGAAGGTTAAGAAATGATAGGTACTCATTGATTTTTAGAGTAGGGAGATATTTTCAATTGACCTGATACAGTGAAGAATGATGCCTGAATGGATTTCACCGAGACCTTTGTTGGCAAAGGAAAGCTTTAGAAGGATCGTTTCTCTATTAAATTATTTGCAATGTCAACTGGTCTGAATAGTCTGTGATGAACAATGTATCCAAGCTGATCGATATCAGTTTGTATTGGTTTGAATGGAAATTTTTAACAGGGTTTTCAAGACATAGATTGTAAGTAAAATGTAGTTGCACCCTTTATGGTACTTTCTCCGGACATTCAGTACAATATTCTCATCAACATACATATTATTTTAAGATATGATAAATCTTCAACACTTCAGCCTTATGTTCTCTGTTTTAGTTTATGTTGACAATACTTCAAGTACAAAACTGCCATTGATATTTAAGTTTCTGAGCCATGAACGACTTAGTATTAGATGATAAAACAGAATCATATCTGAACTTGTCATTTACAATACACGTATTTAGCGGTCGAGAAAAGGCAAATGTCGCTGCCCGAATCTCCCTTTCCAACACTCTTGGAAACATTGGAAAAGGTAGTGTCGGCATTGTATCTGAAATAATGATAAAATACACACTGATGTTTTTGTTGTTTATTTCAAATGAATAGTTATCATAATTTTAATAGAAAATCACCAAAGATACGAGGCTTATTATATTAAATGTGAAAGAGTATCAAAACCAAATATGTAACAACAACAAAAAAACGACAATCGTTTTAGGTCAACTTCATTTAAGGGTGGTGCACCCTTCATATTGTAGTATTATTTAACTTATAAAAAGAAAAAAACCATTGAAAATGTTACATCATTGATATAGTACGAGAGCACTGCATACTGATACATAAATCTTTCCGGAAAATGTTTTGAAAAGATAGGATTGTTTTTTAATTTTTCCCTTTGTGTGTCCCCCTACGACAGTTTTATTCTGTAAAACCGATGTTTTGCCTATGTCTTTTATGAGATTCATATCAAGAAGAGGGACGAAAGATACCAGAGGGACAGTCAAACTCATAGATCGAAAACAAACTAACAACGCCATGGCCAAAAATAAAAAGACAAACAGACAAATAATAGTACAGATGACACAACATAGAAAACTAAAGACTAAGCAACACGAACCCCACCAAAAACTGGGGTGATCTCAAGAGTTGCCTCCCGTACACCATGGATTTGACTATTTCAGGATTCAAAATTCAAGAGTAAATTTCATTAGTCTCCCATTAAGAACAGATTGTGTAGTAGGTCCAAATTTTGTGTAAGCTATATTTTTATCAGATGACAGTAAAACATTTAAAAAAAAAATCACCCAATTACAACACTGTTTAATCAAAGAATCAAATTTCAGGCAAAAACATAGCAAACAAATGATTAATGTGGAAATAACTGCCACAGTTTACTTTGAATGACGAGGTCTGACATGATAACAGAATGCCGACATGATTGATTTAACTGACAAATCTGTGCACCATTGGTAGCAATGGATGCTCAAGTTCCTCAAGGTTCATCCTAAAGAGAACGAGGGTTATGATCCCCAAATACGTCGGGTCTTATTCGCATCACCCCCTGGTTTCAGGGGAGTAAAGATTAACAGTTTCTATATCATAAAACTCTATATGCATGCTGAATACATAGTCCATACTATGTATCATAAAACAGTCAAGCTCGAACTGGTACCAATTCAGAACCGGCCACTCAGGGTAGACATGAGATGGTCTCAACAGAACTTCCTGCGGTACCGCAGGAAAGTAAAAACTTAATATGATCCGACGTACAATTACGGGAAACGATCATAACCCCTTAATCTTGCCAGATCTCGACATCCTTTTTGACTGTGACGAATGATTTTATTTCAAAATAATGAACAATTAGAATCAAGTAATCAAGATAAATGCTGATCTTTATCAAAATAAAGTCAAAAGTTAAATGCATTCCAGGCGAAGAACTAATAGCAGGTATTGATAATTCCATTTTCACACTGCTGGTGTCTGAATATTTAGATAAAAGTGGTAGCCATTCATGAAAATTAGCATTAACATATATAGTTCTCGAACGTATGATTCAGCAAGCAAATCCATCGGCCTGTTTGTCTCCTCTTTTTTGTCCAAAATGTTATAGATCCGGCCTGTTCTGGTCATTCTGAAAAGATAAATAAATCAGCAGCAGACAAAATAATGGTTATTAGATGGAAGATTGTAAGGGGAGGTGGGTGGGTTTTTGAAACTTTTACATATCTACAAGAGTGGCTAGTTCAATGTAATGCTGAAGAGTCATGTGACGTTGATTATCGGGAAACGAGAACCGGATCCGAATGACGCAGTAATCATTTCTCTTTCATTAAATTGGTTTATCTTATAAATGAGATAAACCGTATTAATCAAAGAATCAAGTTTCTGGTAAAAACATAGCAAACAAATAATTATTGTGGAAATAACTGCCACAGTTCACTTTGAATGACGAGGTCTGACATGATAACAGAATGCCGACATGATTGATTTAACTGACAAATCTGTGCACCATTGGTAGCAATGGATGCTCAAGTTCCTCAAGGTTCATCCTAAAGAGAACGAGGGTTATGATCCCAAAATACGTCGGGTCTTATTCGCATCACTCCCTGGTTTCAGGGGAGTAAAAATTAACAGTTTCTATATCATAAAACTCTATATGCACGCTGAATACATAGTCCATACTATGTATCATAAAACAGTCAAATTCGAACTGGTACCAATTCAGAACCGGCCACTCAGGGTAGACATGAGATGGTCTCAACAGAACTTCTTGCGGTACCGCTGGAAAGTAAAAACCTAATATGATCCGACGTACAATTACGGGAAACGATCATAACCCCTTAATCTTGCCACTTGAGTGTGTCTATACACACTCATCAGAATCCCCCTCTTTTTCCACAACCTAAAAGTCCATTTAATTGAACTAGCTAAGAAGGCATTACTCTTTGATTATACGTTTGATCCTTGGACAATAATAGTTTTCCTTTTGTAATAGCTTTGTTATAATGGGGCTATTATCCTTCCATGATATCCCCTCAGCAAGATTTGTTTTGGACGATATCACTTCTTTTGTTGTATTATCCATGTTATATATATATTTAATATCATCATAAAAAACGCAATATTTTAGCAGTAATACATCCACTGATAAACCGATCATGAATTATCAATAGGTTTACTAAAAGAGTTATCTCCCCTAAACCGACTTTATTCCAAAACACATATGTTCGGTACTTGTTAAAATATTTTTAATAATGCGAAAAATCAGGAATAAAATTGAGAATGGAAATGGGGAATGTGTCAAAGAGACAACAACCCGACCACAGAACAGACAACAGCAGAAGGCCACCAACAGGTCTTCAATGCAGCGAGAAATTCCCGCACCCGGAGGCGTCCTTCAGCTGGCCCCTAAACAAATATATATACTAGTTCAGTGATAATGAACGCCATACTAAACTCCAAATTGTACACAAGAAACTAAAATTAAAAATAATACAAGACTAACAAAGGCTAGAGGCTCCTGACTTGGGACAGGCGCAAAAATGCGGCGGGGTTAAACATGTTTATGAGATCTCAACCCTCCCCCTATACCTCTAGCCAATGTAGAAAAGTAAACGCATAACAATACGCACATTAAAATTCAGTTCAAGAGAAGTCCGAGTCTGATGTCAGAAGATGTAACCAAAGAAAATAAACAAAATGACAATAATACATAAATAACAACAGACTACTAGCAGTTAACTGACATGCCAGCTCCAGACTTCAATTAAACTGATTGAAAGATTATGTCTTCATCATATGAATATCAGGCACAATCCTTCCCGTTAGGGGTTTAGTATCATACCATCATAACATATATGAGAAGAACATAACCCGTGTCATGCCAACAACTGGTTTTTAAATAAATGTGTTTAGTGCAGATGCAAAGATGAAGTTTTCTTCATAGAGATAAACAGTCTAATCAATAACATTGAACATCTGTCTACAAATTCGGAGATTTGGGTAACAACTAGACTGATAGTTCACTGCAAGAGTACAATCCAAGATGGTGGTATACCATGAATCTACCTAATTGCTATGTTAATCTGCAATATGCACTATTAGTTTTGCAAATCTATGTTCCTCTACAAAGTTTACGAAAATGCATTACCTGTATATATAATTCATGCTATTCTAGGCACCCCTTCGAAGTCGTGTACATTTGTATATATTTTTATTTTCAACAAGTATCGTGACCAATATTTTAAAACCATGGGTGTATAACGTACACTTTTAAAAATTAATTTATTCGTATCAATCAATATATAGAAGGTACCACACTTCCTCTACTAAATCGGCAACCACATGCATTCCTACTAGTACTTAAAATTCGGATACAGCTAAGCAGTCCGTGCAGCTTTTTGGAAAGTTCAAACTTGAATAGTTTTACGTCGAATATATTTTGTGACCTGAAAGAACTAGGTGCTAGAGTGAAATTCTATGTATTACTCTAAGTAATGGGTGTATATAGATGCATAGTTGATTAATTCCGACTAGAATTAAAAAAAGAATAAGTCCATCAGCTCTGTGAATAGATAGGAATGGTAAATGTTCCTTTTAATAGAAGGAAATAGATCAAGAGTATTTGAAATAAATTTAAAAATTCATTGAGGCTACCATCTGGATAATATACGTGTTTGTCTGTAAAAGTCCTTAACTTATATACCACATATTTGTTTTCTTTCTAAAAATAGTTGTGGGAAAGCCCATAGTTCGTGCTGACATGTAAAAGAAATGTGATAGTAAATTACAAAGGTATCCTCAATGTTCACATATCCGTGTTAGATGATGATGACAATCAAAAATATTATAAACAATACATGTATATATTCAATAACATTATCGCACTTCAAAGAAAAGAGGATATTGTGTACCATGCTCTGTCTGCTGCTTCGTGAGTTTATAAAGTAATTTAATAATTGTGTCAAAAGTACACATAATTCCCTTATTAATTGCTCTAAGTTGACTTGTTGATAAATTAATTGACCTGTCCATAGTTGCCTATAAACTACTGGTTTGAAGAAAACGTAGTTTATCTTCATGAACTGATTGAAGTGTGAATTTGGGCAAGGTATATTCTGATCGTATAAAATTCATTCGTAGCATGTTATGCTGATGTTCTGGAAGTCTAGTGTCTGTTGTGTATATATATACTATCAAGAACAACGGTAAATGAGTTTTAGTGAGCTATCTGAATAACCTATACCAATAGTAATAACATATCATGAAAATATCAACTCAGCTTTGCTTGTATAACTATATTTGCTTGTATAACTATATTAACTCTATTTGCGTAAGTAAGAAAATTTAGGGTCGGGCATGATATGTATGATTCAACAACGTAAACATGAGCTCTGTAGATCTCTCAACTGACTTGATATTTAATATAAAAAACAAATATCAAATTATAAGCATATTATACAACAAGAACACATGCATATAAATGTAAATAGCTAGGCAAACATGCATAAATTAAAGCAAGCAAGCTAACAAGAAAAGCGCAAATTG